TATTGTAATGCATTACTTTTAAAAGTAACTTTTCTCAACACTGTTAATTTTATATATATATATATATTTATAAAATATGTCTATAAAACTTTCAGAGTGATGACAATCAAAATCAATGTTTTGAACCAATATGAAGAAATGGCTCTCTGACATGAATCAAACATCCGAACTCTATTGCAAGGAGCTGGTGTAAAAAAAAATTCACAACAATGAACTTTACCCAAGCTGAGGGTCTGTTTCTCCATAGTCATCAAGGTAAGGTGCTGGATAGGGACTGCCCCGTGTCTTACTGGCCATCAAGACGATCTCACACTCTCGAACCCTGTTCAGAAAGACAGAAACAAGATTGTTATTATCAATAGTTATCTGTATTTATTTATTAATAGACCTAATAGACACTTCGTTTGTAGAATAAAATGCACACTGACTGGGTCTGAAATCGCATACTCTACTTCATTTGAATAAGTAATAAAAATGTATGTTGTATATAGTATGAATGCAATCCAGACATACATCTCTCATGTTGTCATTGTCACGTGACACGACTGTACCAGTATCAGTTGCGTCGGTTCACTGCTATTCACAAATCCTCTGCTGTGGCCTCATGGGATAGTGAAGTATCCACTAGATGTGGCACTTTAGAAACTCTTTGGAAAAAGTAGGTGATCCGGCTACTTTTTGCCTACTGTTTGACGAATACTTTGAATTCGGACACACTACTATATAGCAAGGAAGTATGCGATTTCAGATGCAGCCACAGTAAATGCCACAGGTTCAGCTGGTTTTCTCTTTTCTTCCTCTCACCTGAGAAACATTCCCACTCCTGCCCCACAGATGGTGGCGTGAACCGTGCACGCTCCCACTTCCTCCCCGTTCAGCTGCTGCTGACAGCAGGGGCTCTGCGCACACAGCATGACCCCGCACAGCAGACACAGGGTCGGGTGCTTTCGCTCGTCATCTGATGAGTTTGGGCATCTATGGGGAAGAGAGAAAGTCACAGGAAACATCCGATTCATCTGCACAAAATATTAAATTCACTCAATGGACATTATAGGCAATCGTTTATTAAAGTACGTACTTGAAGTGACTAGCTTGGTTGAGCAACACACTATAGTCCTCTGGAAGATCTATTAGCCTGTTTCTCTTACGAGGATACCTGAACAACAGGTGGGAAATTCAGTTCAATTATTGTTCAAAATAAAGGGGAAGTGAGCTTACTATCAAACAGAGGAGAACTTAAGTATCGTCTAACCTGATGATTTGCATTTCACCTTTGAGGGCTTTGGATA